CGCAAATTTACTTTGTGTGACATATTACAACACTACTTTTAATATTAAATAATAAAAGAAAAACGTAGAAAATAACAAAAAATACACTTAATCAGCGTTAAAACGAACAAAATATAAACAAAAACTTGGTACCAAGCTCGTTCAAATGCTGCAATAGGTATTTGCGAGTATAAACGAGTTTTAAACTATTGTAATAGTATAATTTTACTTATTGGTTACAATCAAACCTATTATCGAAGAATTATCAACAGGTGTAATCTAACAATAGGTGACAAAAATATATTAATTTTATATGATTTTGATAATTTTTAAAAACAGATAGTGAAACATTTAAGATTCTAAATCAATAATGATACCTAAAAAGCTTGATAAAATTTTTGATACATCTACAATAAGATTAAAAATAAAAATCAACTTATTTTTTAAACATTACACAATGAGAATACTGATGAGAGGATTACCTCGTTGACATAAATAAGCCAAAATAATCTATTATTTTGTCAATATAAAATTTATTATAGTATAAAACCGAGTTTTTGTTATTTTGTGATAGAATGAGTCGTTTTATGAGAAAAACACTTATAACAAATATTATTGTAAATTTAATTTTAAAAACATTTTATAATAAGTTATTTTTTTCTATAGTTAATACTTTCGGATTTAATCGCAAAAAACTGAAAAACACCTTTTTTAAAAAATGTTTGAACTTTTAACTTTTACGAGGTAAATACTTGACTTACGACTTTTTTAGTAATGAACTTTATTATTTAGAATATTAATATCTACAATTTTTTTCTTATAAACGTTTACGTAAATGTCATAGTTTTTGAGATAAACCACAATAACTGAAAAACTACCCTTATTACCGAGTTTTCAACCCTCTTGAGGCACGGCTTAGGGTTGACCAAAATTAACGAAATTAAGTATGAACCATTTTTTTATAGTTTAGAACAAATTTGGGGGGTGGCCCGATCAAATTTCGAAAAAAAAAAATAAGGACCACCCTAATATATATGTATAATAAAGTTACTGTTTGGAATTGATATTATACGATTGTCAAGTAAAACCCCCCGATCCGTCATTTATGTTAAGATAAGTAACTTAACGTTAAAAGTATAAAGTAGTGAAACAATTCACTCTGGGAATTGTAAAGTTTCACTTCAATATATTTTTACAAAGAAGGTTTTCTATAAAAGTCGTTAGAATTATTTATTAAACGCTGTTTAATAAATATGTTGTTTTCTTGAGTTGATGAGTTGATTTCCCGCCAATATTTTAAATGGTTGAGCTGAAAAATTGTTGTTTGACTATATGTTCGTGTTAAAAGCATTATTAACTAATACTGAAGTATCTGTAGTTGTGTTGGTGGATTGTTTTTCAATTTGTATAGCAATTTCTGAGTTCAGTTTTTTAATAGATTCAATTTCGTTATTCAGTAATGAAATGTGTTGTAGTATTATTTTCTGGCAATATTTTAAACGATGGGGTTGAAAGATTATTTTTCGACGATGATTTCTTTATAGAAATTTTAGAGGGCTCTTTTTTGGTTTCAATGATCGTAGTTAGCGCAAATTTATCTTCTCTAAACAGTTCTTTTAAAATTTAATTATTTGTCAAAATAGTTATCTCCAGGTTAATAGGATGCATAGTGAAATCCGGACGAATAGTCATAATAAGTTTTACTGTTTTAGTTAAAGTTTTTTTCTTCTTTGAAAGTTTCATCTCCAAAAAATTCTGCAGTGACACAACTGCCAGTGCAAGAAACATAATATCTCTGACTATTTGAATCGGAATTATGAAATATCACGAAAAAATAATTCGAATCCATTATAAAAAAAATGGTTTCGAAATATATGCACTCAAAACTTGAAATTTTTAAGTTATACTTAGGGAAAAATATAAGATTAGAAGATTTTTAAATATATGTGTACTTATTTATCACAAAAAAATTCTTAAGCAAAAGATCACCACCATACGGTCCGATTGAAACATCATTGTTATCCTTTTTAAGCAAAAAATAAAGTCTTGTTTACTTTTTATTCAAGTCAATTAATGTAACAAAACATTTTTGACAATTGGCCAACAATTATTAAATTTGTTTAATAAAATGTGTTATTTTGAATATAAAATGTAATTAATATTAAGTTTTTAGTTTTAGTTATTATCGAGGTGGACATAATGCCCATGCACTCAGACCTGTTGGTCCATTGTGCGCACCTCATACCGAATTGTCTTGATTCGGTTTTCCCACCTAAGTGTTAATACATTACCAACCATAAAGTCACCTCTAAAGATGACCAAAGAGACCTGTCTTTCTGGCGAAATTAAGTATCTCTCTGGGTTTTAGGTTTTTAATATCTTCTTTTTTAAGAAAAGGTTTATTCAAGTAGTTTGATCTTAGTGTGGACAAGGCTTCACATTCGCACATGATGTGAAATGAGTCTTTCTCTTCTACTCCACACTTCCTGCACAATGGTGATTCCGATACCCCCATTGCGTTAAGATGCTTAAGCAGGTGACCATGTCCTGTCAGTAGACCAGTCAGGGTGCTTATTTGATGTCTAGTCATGCTATTAAGATCACCCAGCAATAAACCAGGGGTCTTGATAAACATTTTA